CTCCAAGAGAGCATCATAAATAAGTTTCAGGTAGGACATACTGCTGCTCAATCGCAACACTACGAGGAAGAACGACCGCAGCGATTGGGGAAGTATACATAGCCGCTGCAACCGCCGGTGTCATTGCGGTCACTAGACAAAACACTGTCCGTACTCCAGACCAATAGCGTGTCTGACCGCCATGCATGATCCACCACCCGAGTCCATACAGAAGTAGTACTTTCCACCACGGTTCGCGCACTGGTGACCGGACAGCATGCCCACGGAAGTCGCGGGATGGCACCTGCACGACGTTCACGTCCGTCAGATACCCTGTTAACCTGCACCGCCCATGCCACTCACCTGCCGACGGGCACAGAGATCAACCGGTTCTGGTTTCGGCAGGCCTTTCCAGCGCGCGCAGCCAGCTGCATAGACACCCGTCAGTGGGACGTGTTGATTGTGAATGGCTCGGGGGGACCTACGACGTTGATTACTTCCCGGACAAGAGGGTGGTCTTTATGCTCTTCGAGGTCACGAGCGTAAAGCTCGTCGTCGTCCCGCGCAAACAACGCATCGTCATCCCACACACTCCTCGCTTCCAGATCGAGGGTGTCATGAGCAGAGCTCTCCGCCAGAACGGCCGTAGCAAGGAGCGTGAGCGGGAGAAGGAGGGATCGAATGAACCGCATTGTGGTTTCTGTATCGTCAAGACTTGATATGTGGTGTTTGCTGCGTCGACAGACAGATCCTGCCCCGTATTTATACGAGGGAGTCAGTGGGCGCCCGGATATAACAGCTAATGGGACGCATGGTCCGCTGATATGAGCAGCCCATCGTCAAGTGGTGCAGCTTGTGCGTCGTCAGCAGCGACATGTTTCATCGCCTGGTCACTCGTATGCGCGCGATGTGATTATGATCCCGAGCTTCGTCACCAGTCGACGACGTGACTACCTTTCAGATCTGTCCATAAGCGCGAATTAGCATTGCGCAAAGCCGACAGATTGTAATTCACAAGAATCAAGCCATGACGGCGCGCCGCATATAGAAATTGCTATATGGGTATGCACGGTTGGGAGGAGATCATGGAGTGAAAATCCCTGTTAGAATATGATCAGCAGAGCGAATCAGGAACCCGTGTGGTAAGTATGATCTTCATTAGAGGTTCTTCGGGCTTCATGGCTAACGCAGTTGCGTTTCGGCACACGGATGATCTGCGGTTCACCTGGGAACGTGCAGTCGAGATTGATTCAGCTTTTGGATTTCTGTCGGTATGTCAGAGTCCTGAGCGTACCTGTGTGTACGAAGTGTACCCTAGCGGTGAGAGGTGTCTGGACATTGCGTGTCGCGATTTAAGATTACCGGTGTCGCGAAGCCGCCGAATAGTTCATAAAATAAACCCAGTTCCAATGAGAGTCAGTATCCAGAGTAAGTGAGGGTGTCTTCGAGACAGGCTGTGTACAACTTCGCTGTACGGGGGCTTCGGGCAAATAGGGTTGTCAAGCGCGGCGCGAACGCGGGAGGCGTGTAGATCTTGCCACCTCTAATGGTATCTCCGATCAAGGACGGAGGAAACTACGGAATCTGTTTAGCCACGACACGTACAGTGTATTTCATTGGCAAATGCTTATACATCCTTGCACTTGGTAATATGCGAGCCGAAGCCATCCTGAAGCTCAGAGTCGCATACCGCTGTCTACTGGTGGCTGCCAACCACTCATCTCAGACGTGCACAAAGAGAACTTTTGGGGTTTAATGAGCATGCCAGGGACAGTGCCGGAATTCCTCTGTGAAAGTTTCGTCAGTCTCAACTGTCCGCTAACCATGGCCGGGCAGCGTGTACCTATCCCTATGAGATGCTTCTACGTATTTCCGTGGCCGTCCAAGCCGCGGCCGACGTCCTCAAGCCTGGCCCGAACGTCTTCAACCCGACCGCCCTGCCTGTCTACCACCCCTCGGTCGAGCAGCTTGATCACCGCACGCGCCTCGCGCACGAACTCATACGATTTAGCCACGGACTCGTGAACAGCACGAGTGTTCTCGTCGGTGCCCACCGACGAGGCTTCTGCTGATGAGGGAGATGCTGGAGGGAGTACCGAAGACAGATCGCAGTCGGACGCGCGAAGGAGTGCCAGGTCGCGAAGAGCGTCGCCGAGTGGTAGAGGGTTGGCCTTGGCCTTGGACATGCTAATAGTCACAAGTACAAAGTGTCGGTAGTACTAGACGCGCGCCGCGAGAACCACAGTACACCGTAGCTGAGAACAAAACATTCAGCGCTGTGGATCGTCTTCTGCTAACTGCCGGCAGGATATAACAGACTTTAGGTGGTGTTTGCCCCGAATGTAGTGGACATAACGAGCAGTATATCTTAACCCTCACAAATTTACAGTAATGACGGGCCTGATTTGCCCCAAACATGGCCGGCTAAACCCCACATTGGGGTCTGAA